ATGTGATCTAGTAGTGAAATAGTTAACAGTGATATGGGAGTATTTGCGTCAAAGCAACGGAGAGGATATCTCTCGCTGTACATACACGATCGGCATGAATGGATATACACGGGAATCATGGGGGATTAAGCCCAGTAAAATGTTGGAACTGCTTGTTTCCTCTCTCCCCGTAAACCAGTGAGGCTTAATCACTGACCGGAAGCTTGTATTTTGGACTCTTCTGAATTGGATGTGTTCTGCCGAGCCCGATCGAAGGAACGAACTCCACTTCAAATCCATTGGGAACGTCTTCCCCCATAGTACCCAGCAGGGGAATGAGCGGAAATCAGGTGATAACTCTGCTACCGTCAAAAATCGGATTTTCAGCCAGCACTTGCTTTTGTACCGACTGGCATAATACACTGATACGAGCTTGAATTTGAAAAACGGAAAGTGCAACGGAGCGCTCTTTCCGCATCCCATAGTTGTTCAAAATAACAGAGAATCAACCAAAGTAACTTCTATAAAGGAATATAACCGACGTATCTTCAATTTTGATGGTGCAGTATCAAAAAAATTTGTTATACTGAAACAGTCAGAAAACAGTACGCTGAATCAGAACTGTCCTATATCTAAAAACGCGGGTGGAGCAAGAAAAAAATGTCAACTGCAAACTTTCTCAGAATTATATTTGGAGCAAGTTTGCAGTTGACAACTTTCTTCTAGCTCCGCTCATTTCAGAAATGTGGGACAGCTCTGATTAGATACAGTTCTGATTCAGGAAGTTCTGATTCAGCGTACCTCCCAAAAAAAACTTTACTGACTGCTGCAAGCGCGCTTCACCGAACATTTCATTTTTCAGATCTGATTGGAAGTTTGTGGAATTTCTGTAGTTTCATTATTTTTTTCAGTTTCTACATCCCAACTTCTGAAAGTGACTACTATGCAACGTTGATGAGATTTTTCTATGAGAATCAGTTGTTTTTGGAGGTTGCAGTTGACAAATTTATTCGTTCAGTCAATCATCAAACGTAAAACTTTGAGTTTTGAATATTTCTAGCATTTTATTTTCAGATCCCTCTTCGGAGAAAAAAGCTATTTATGGGGAAATCGTGGGAATTGGGATAAGGTTTATAACAAGAGCATGGTTGCAATGCATCCGGTCAAAATTAGTCAGTTTGAATCTCCAGGCGAAAAAAGGAAAAGGCGAGTGGAGAATTTCGAGAAGGAGGGAGTTTAATAATCTTTTTTTTTTAGATATTGTGGTTCGATTTTGAGAACATGGTCTGAGATAATGTTTGGTGGATCTCAAGGTTTTTAAACTAAAGCGGATGATGACACAGATCATGGAAAGGGATAGCTGATTCAATTGTTAGACTTTCTAGGGTGTTTGAAATAAAAATAAAATATCTGTTAATTGGTTGTTAATCATTTTTGTTTCACATAAATGTTAGCTGAATTAGTATTGCATAAATATCAGGTTGATCAAATTGAATCTACCCCCGGATTATAACTGTTCTGCCTGAATCGGCCCAGTTGGGCGCAACTGGCCTGAATTGGTCGGACATGGCCCGGACCGACCTGATTCAAACCGATTTGGTCCGAATCGGCTCGTTTGTCCTGGTCCAGTCGAATTTAGTCCAAACCTGTCTGCATTTTCATTGTCTACGGCCTTTTTAGCATACTTGCGAAAGTACGGGCCGGTCCGCCTCAAATTTTGGGATTTTTTTTCTAGTTTTTTCAAAATTTTCACATGATTTTTATTATTTCGCAACAAATTGTTGAATACTTCGTATTAAGTTCATGTTCACCTCGAAATATGTTTAAATTAATTATAAAAGTATGTTTTTTCAATGAAAAAATTGCTTCTGAAAAAGTGTTGACAACAGCGGCCCGCAGGCCAGGCCAGGACGGGCCGGGCTTTCGCAAGTATTCTTTAGTCTCTAATAGTAAGCACGGTCTCCCAGGATGGAAATAAGAACACGATGAGTTGGCAATTCCTGAAATGTCAAAAAATATTCTAAATTTTGTACGTGTTCAATTTTTGAACTGAAAATGAGGTTGAAGGGATTTCACGCAGCCTGGAGGTTGAAATCGAAAATTCTGCCTGCAACATATTGTTTGCAGACACGATAGGATTATTTTCAGCCATCTTTCGTCTTTGTACGTTTCATGTGAGCTGAGTTATCATCGTTTTCAAATTTCAACAGGAAATCCCGATTTCGCTGACTCTGAATTCTCCAAAGCGTCAAAAAATCATGTCAATGGGATCAAAATGGAACTTATTGACCTGTTTCTTAGGTGTAATGATAGCCTAAGTCATTTGGAGTCAGCGAAATCGGGATTTCCTGTGGAAATTTGAAAACGATGATAACTCAGCTCACATGAAACGTACAAAGACAAAAGATGGCTGAAAATAATCCTATCGTGTCTGCAAACAATATGTTGCAGGCAGAATTTTCGATTTCAACCTCCAGGCTGCGTGAAATCCCTTCAACCTCATTTTCAGTTCAAAAATTGAACACGTACAAAATTTAGAATATTTTTTGACATTTCAGGAATTGCCAACTCATCGTGTTCTTATTTCCATCCTGGGAGACCGTGCTAAGGCCTTTTTTCCTAAGAGTAAAAAAAATTGAAAAAGAAAACTCTTGCGTAAATAATTATTGCCACGTGTTCCACCCCTCAATTTTTACGTGGCTTTTCTCCTTTCCAGAATTTTCTCTTCTACATTTTCTCCCTTAAACTTTTCCTCGTGGCACCCCATTAGCCGAGTAAGATCTAGAGCATCGATTAGCAACATAAAAGAGGAGAAACTCGTCGAAAGAGCTTCAGTTCGAATCTTAACACTCGACACAAGAACATCGATAAACTCGACGAAACGACGGAAAGACGATGACTCCGTTCGACTACCTGCACATCACACTGCTTCTTATCGGCCCCCTCGCCGTTCTCGTTGGATGTGGAGGCAAGAAGAAAGCACCGTGAGTTTGTTTATATTGTATTACCTGCCGCGCTCTCAGCTTGCACAGCTTGGCGCAGTGGTAGTGTGCTTGACTGACGTGCGGGGGGTCCGGGGTTCGATTCCTCTTGCTTTTAAAACATTTTGTTTTTTCTTCCAGACCACCGAAGTCCGCTTCCAAGATGACCCCACCTCCACCCGCTCCTGCTCCAGCTCCTGCAGACCCCGCCGCTGCTCCTCCACCAGATGCCGCCGCCGGTGCCGCTCCAGCTGATGGAGAGAAGAAGGACGGTGACAAGAAGAGTGAAAAGAAGGAAGGAGAGAAGAAGGAAGATGAAAAGAAGGAGGAAGAGAAGAAGGAGGAAAAGAAGGATGAAGAAAAGAAGGATGGTGATAAGAAGGAGGATGAGAAGAAGGATGAGAAGAAGGAGGGTGATGATAAGAAGGATGGTGAAAAGAAGGATGAGGAGAAGAAGAGTGAGAAGAAGAGTGAGAAGAAGAGTGAGAAGAAGGAAGGAGAGAAAAAGGAGGAGAAGAAGGACGAGAAGAAGTCCAAAAAGTCCAAGAAGTCTAACAAGTCCAAAAAGTCAAAGAGGGACAAAAAGGATGGTGATAAGAAGGATGAGGAGAAGAAAGATGAGGAAAAGAAGGACGATGAGAAGAAGGACGATGACAAAAAGGACGATAAAAAGGATGACAAGAAGGAAGACGAGAAAAAGGATGATGTGAGTTTCTAGACTTTTCTAGACTTGAAATTTATTTCTGAATTTCAGGACAAAAAGGAGGACGAAAAGAAGGAGTAGTCGCCTTCCGATGATTGCATCTCTAACCAATCTCAACTCATCAACATCTCATCTTTTTGCTCTCTTGAATAAACTGATGATTATTTTCTTGTGTTGTTGATGTCTAACAAAAAACAAAAAGGTTTGACACCGGATGGTTTTGAACCAGCGAGCGTAGACATGTAAAGGAGGGTATAGAGAAGGGCGGGGATACGAAGAAACTGAAACAAATTGTAAGGCCAGCTAGATCAGCAAGCTCTGTTTAACGAATTCCCAAATTCAGTTTCTAATTGATTTATTTGAAAATGAAATAAGTTGTACGCAAACACCGCGCTCTAAAGTTCACGGTCACGAGAAGTTCAAGCAATCCCACTGAATAGTAATGCAACAAAAATGTAAGCAGCGAAACTGTCCGGTAGAGCGTAATTTCAACGATGTTGCGTGTCCTTTTACTGTTCATCTTGTGTACGCCTCTCAAGAGGAAGACAAAATGGAGAACGGCAAACCAGTGATTTTCAAATTATGTGTACTTCTAGTGTATCAAGTCTTTAAGCTTGAAGCTATAAGGTTACTTTCTCACTATAGGAAACAAGTTTAACAAAAACCTCGAACTAAAAATAAAAGATACTTGACATCCGAACTTTCGACAAAAACAATCATTAGTCAACAATGAGAACTGAGGAAGTTTGATTGACAAGGAGAAACATAGTGGTCAGAAGATACTTCGATTTCTCTGAAGACGTGTATCCGTTTGTATTCTCTCAGAAGAACTGTGGGAATTAAGAGAAACCCAGACAGACAGACAGAGTGTCTTGCTAGTGTTAAAAATCACTATATAAATGAAGTTCCGAAGCTATCTCAAAAACTTATTTCAACTTTCCTTTGAAAGTCTTTGCTGTTCATAAAAACTTTTATTTCTTCAGTATATCCATTGGAATATTTGTTTCACCTCGCTTCCACATCGCTTCTATATTTTTCAACCACAAAATATAGGTGACTCATCATGATTTTTGAAATCGATGAAAGTCTTCCACCAGTTTTGCAAAACGAAGGTATCGTTTGGCTTTCTCCAACCGAGATTTCAAATGGCATCGTTCCGATTTTTGAACACCAACCGAAAATGGAATTTGTGCTACAAGGATTTCATAACGGAGTGTTCCTTGCTAGTGTCATTACATTAATCAACACTAATAAGACGGAAAACCTTCGCGGGGAGTTGAAAAGCGACATTCAGGAATTGTTCCAAAGGGAATGCATATTACAGGGTGCGCCATAATTATAGGTGCATCGAATTTTGTAACGTAACTCGACTCGAATTTGTTTAATATTCATGGGAATTGGCCAAATTTATCATGGAATGGTCCAAATCGTTCCCCAATTATCACTTTAGAGCAATGTGATTTTTAGATTATTTTCAACCTAAGAGATCCTACCAGTTTGAAACAGTCATGGCACGCAGGCATTTCTGAATTCCAGAGTTCATAAAAAATTTTCGGATGATGGGATTGACTTGAAAATTCATTCCTGATAAGACCAAATATCTACCAATACGTGATCAAATTTACTAAAGGATTGCTTTGAGCGCAGCTTCAAAAAATTGCAATGTACCATCGCCATCAGATGAAGAATTCTAAATCCAGTGCAAAAGTAGCAAAAATGGTTAAGACGAATTCTCCCAGAAAGTCGAGCAAAGTGCTGTACAGAAATTTCAGGAGGGTCCGTTTCAAATTGTTTTCTATATGATGGATACCCAAACTCTCCTAAATACTTTCATATATTTTTTGGCTCGCCCCGCCCCCTTGCTTTCTAGAAAATTCTAAAAATCGATATTTTGGAAAAATTTTTCCTGAATGAGATATCGATGAGATCTAATCGGATATCAGTTACTGGTACTATTTTGACCATTTTTTGTGTTCAGACCAAAAATCCACCTATCCGTCTTCATACCTAAATAACTCAGTTTTGTCGATTTCTGCGGGTTTTTCTGGAAAAATCAAGTTTTCTGGGCTTGGGTCCATATCAAGTCGGGCAGATAAGTTCATATTATGAATCTACGAGCAATTTGGGTGCGGACCCGCATAACCCGGTCCCAGCCGACCTCGACCCAGTCGGTCATATATAGCATAGTATAAAATATTTCTCTGAAAATCAACGTATACCTATACATGAAAAAAATGTTGAAGTCAGGGATTTCGATAATATTTATGTTTTGGGTAGTACTAGTCATCATTAATTAATACACAAAGTATCAGACCCCCGCTAACCTCCTGAACAGTATGGCAGCAAGCAGAAAATTTGTACCAGTAGAAAACTTCGATGGATCATAAATTTTTTATTTTTCAACCGATTTGGCCAGACTTTTGACCATTCAAAAGGTATTGCTCCGGACTACAAAAAAGTCAATTGGGGCAGGTTTAACCTATCTGTTTTAAAAGAGTAGAGTGAATGAATGGGATATTATATAAAACTTCTTCAAACACCCGCTTTGCTGAAATAGTTGAATAAGTGCCCCAATTGACTTTTTTGTAGTCCGGAGCAATACCTTTTGAATGGTCAAAAGTCTGGCCAAATCGGTTGAAAAATAAAAAATTTATGATCCATCGAAGTTTTCTACTGGTACAAATTTTCTGCTTGCTGCCATACTGTTCAGGAGGTTAGCGGGGGTCTGATACTTTGTGTATTAATTAATGATGACTAGTACTACCCAAAACATAAATATTATCGAAATCCCTGACTTCAACATTTTTTTCATGTATAGGTATACGTTGATTTTCAGAGAAATATTTTATACTATGCTATATATGACCGACTGGGTCGAGGTCGGCTGGGACCGGGTTATGCGGGTCCGCACCCAAATTGCTCGTAGATTCATAATATGAACTTATCTGCCCGACTTGATATGGACCCAAGCCCAGAAAACTTGATTTTTCCAGAAAAACCCGCAGAAATCGACAAAACTGAGTTATTTAGGTATGAAGACGGATAGGTGGATTTTTGGTCTGAACACAAAAAATGGTCAAAATAGTACCAGTAACTGATATCCGATTAGATCTCATCGATATCTCATTCAGGAAAAATTTTTCCAAAATATCGATTTTTAGAATTTTCTAGAAAGCAAGGGGGCGGGGCGAGCCAAAAAATATATGAAAGTATTTAGGAGAGTTTGGGTATCCATCATATAGAAAACAATTTGAAACGGACCCTCCTGAAATTTCTGTACAGGCCTCAAGATGCTCGTGCTCGAGTTTCTGGGAGAACATGTCTTAAAATTTATTTCCGTATTTCTTTGAACCTGATCTCAAATCTGTTTTGTTCGTTGATTATGAGCTCTAACACGCTACTTTTGCTAGTTTCCAGTCATCAGGTACATTTTCAGTTGTGGATTCTATAACCCCTTGATTTTGCAAAATTTTTAGTACTCTCCACGAAAAATTCAGAAACTTTGTTGAAAATAAAGTCTCCGCTCCAAAACTTCTGGGGCTTATTAAATCAATAGTATATAACATTTTGGAACAATATAGGGCCATATGACTATCTACAGCTTCACCAATTACACTCCAAACTCGTGCACCTATAATTATGGCGCACCCTGTAGAATACACTTTCTACACAGTCAACGGAGAAAATGAAAAAGTTCAAATCAATTGTTTACTGCCAACTAGAAATGGGCAACTAGTATTCGCTCAAGCAACGTTTTTTGGTGTCCACTTCTAGAAAAAGCATACGCGAAGTGAGTTTTTTTATCATGGGGAAAAGAGAAGTAAGCGAACAATCCTATTTTCCAGGTTTCGTCGCGGATACCAAAACTTATCACTCAACAGCCTGGATGAGACTATTCACAGATTAACTGGACAGTTACTTTTTTGTAATCAAACAATTCTTCACCCAAAAAGTTTTCTGTGGAATACAATCATAGAGGAGTGCAACAAGGGCAAACCAGTGGTGTGTAAAACAAGACATTCGGATGGTAATAATGGAGAATATGGACGAGGATTTGCTGTCATTGGAGTAGAAGATGTCAACAACGAAAGATTAGTTAAGCTCAGAGACCCTGCAAAAACAACGATCGACACAATGAAACTTGAAGATTTTGTAAAAAATTTCGACGTGATCGGTTTTTCGGTAAAATTATATAGTGAGATACGCCATGTAAATTGCTGGGGAAGAAATCTATTGAACGCATGGTAGGCGTCAGTGAGGTATGCAAATCCACTTCGCTGAGGAACAAAAGTAGGCCCTCTTGAATTAATTTTTACGCCAAAACTTGAACGAAATGTTGAGTTTTAGAAAGTTAAGAGCCTTCAATTGTATCGAGTTATGTCTAGAAGTTCCACGAAAAACGTTATGAAACAGCA